GGGCCAAGAAGGGGCTTCGTTCCTTATTTAGCGTTCCTTCTTTCAGCGGCCCGACTGTATGCCAGCTGCGCAAGAGTGCTGCCTCTGCAACTCGTAGGGGCGGCTCCATCACCGAGACGGCGCAGCGGCCCCGCGGGAGGGAGAGGGCGATGGGGGAGGAGGGGCGGGGGAGGGAGGGAGGGACGTCCATGGGCCTTGCACACTCACATCTGGCCCGACCGCCGAGGGGCCCGGGATTCAACCCTGGTGTCGGGCAGCAGGGCGGGGGACAGCAGGGAGAGCGCCGGGGGGCGGGGGGGGCACGGGCTTCCACCCTGGTGTCGGGCAGCAGGGCGCGGGACAGCAGGGAGAGCGCGAGGGGGGGGAAGGGGGGTGGGGGCGTGGCGGAGCAGCGAAAGGATCCGAAGAGGGTGCAGGGCATGTCGGCGGAGATCAGCGGGGCTTTGTGGCCCTGGAGGCATTCATCTGCCCTTCTGTTGTCTAGGCATTTGGTGTCGAGCGATCCCCGCCGAACCTTTTGCCATGTGCCCCCAACCGTGCTCCCGCCTACTACAGTGATGCGCGCAAGCATGCGGTAGAGGAGGCAGAGGGGACAGCGGCGGAGGGAATGAAACTTCCTCCTCGGCTCTCCTTCTGCCCCGCGCTGCGGCTTGGGCCGTTGGGCTGCCCGACAATGTGGACGGTCAATTGCGACCATTCCGGCGCGCCGCATGCGCGGGCAGGCCATGCTGACCGAACTTGCAGAGCTAACCATCCTATTTTGCCAGGTGGCGAACGACACGTACTTAGCATGTCGATAGTGTCCAGCATCTTCTGTTTGCTGTCATGGTTACGTGGCCGTGCTTTTCTCTTGTGGTGTTGCAGGTCTCGGTCATGCCAGGCTCTGCCATGATCTCGCATACGCGCGGGACTGGATATTAATGAGACGAGGCGATGTTGGGGCTTCGTGGAATGCTGATTAAGCAACGCTGAATGTTTTCTGTCATGTCGCCTTTTCGCGCCGTCTGTCGCGCTCCAAGGGAACATGCCTGCATGTGCGCGTGTCGCTTCGAGGCAGTCGCTGCTGCACGTGGCTCTCCTCGGTCTCACGTCGAGGCCTGGCGGCTGACACTTCCCCAAGCAGCGCTTGCACTCAGGGGGTTCTTCCTCAGGCTCCTTACAGGCGGCCCGGATTAGTAGGTCGACCCTGCCAGATCAAGGGTATCCTTGTGTCCTGTGCCTCGCGACCCGCGCCTACTGCATTCCTGCGGCACTGTGGCCCTCGGAAGGGTCTTGTGTCCTCTCGCGTCTTCTCTCCAATCGAGTCTGACGGTATGCCGGTCTGCCGAAATGGTGGTTGGTGCCCTCGTGGCGCCTCGGTTGGCGCCTCGTGCGCCGTGTGGGTGTGCCGAGGTGTCGCCTGCTGCCCGCCCCTGGCCGCCCAGGGGGCGCCGCGTGGACGCCTCGTGCGCCCGGCGGCCGCATAGCTCGCGCCACACAGCGCTCACAGCAATTGCCTCCACCATGCGGCGAACACCATAGAGTTTCAACCACACAGCTCGCGCCACACAGCTTGCACCGCGCTGCCTGCACGACATACATTCACCCACAGAGCCTGCACACACACACACACACACACACACACACACACACGCACACACACACACACACGCACCCACATATATATATGTATATCTATATAGATTTGCATACATATTGTACCACGTGGCGTGCATCACATACCGTCCACCACTTGTCTTGTCTCGCACATCTTTCACCATACGTGATTTCAAAGCCACAGCTTGCACCACACTTTTTGCACCGCGTACCCTGAACATCTGAAGGGCAACAACGTGTTGGTTGAGGCCCGAGCTGGTGACTATGGAGTGCATATGCATAGAACGCGCGTGCCATATTATGCTTTCATACATATGTTTGTATAGGACTTGTCACACGTATGTTGTGTGTTTCCAAGTTGGTCCGCCAAGGCGTCTGTCTTTTCAAGTCGGTTGATGCCCAGGTTTTCTCCTGGGCGGCGTGACGCTGTGACGCCTGTCATGCCTTCTGGAGCGTGGAATACGTCTACCCGTCTACCCGGATGCATTATTGTCTTGACGATTGATTCTGACCAAGTCGTTGCTGCGCTTGGTTTTCACCGGGCCCTTCGACGTCGCGGTGCCTGTCGGGTTGTTGTACAGGCGGCCCAGATTAGTAGGCCGACCCTGCCAGATCAAGGGTACCCTCGTGTCCTGTGTCTTGCGACCCATTTCTCCTGCATCTTTATGGCAACATAGCCCTAAGAAGGGTCTTGTGTCCTCTCGCGTGTCCTCTCCAATCAAGTCCGACTGTAGAGACCGCCTGTATGTCCATATGCACTGCAACGTTGTCCGACATGTCATGTCTTACTCATGCGTGGTCATGGATACGTAGTGCATGTCCAGTGTGTGTGTATGTTGTGTGGGCATGTGCTTTCCATGTATGGTATGCAAGAACAAGCGTTTTGGTGCCTTTGGCATTTTACCTGCATGCATGGGAAACGGAACTACAGGCGCCGTATACAATCATGCGTGTGTGTCCGAAAGTCTGATGTGTAGTATTTGTAGTTGACGCTGTGTATGTCTGCATTTGTTTGTTGTGTGCGGTTGCATTGTGCGTTCGGCATGTGCGTATGTTACGTATACTTGTTGTGTACAGTGAACGTTCAAGTGTGTTGTCCGTGTCTTGGTGTCTGAAGTTCGTGTAGCTGCATCATACAATCGGTCGTCGTGCACGAGAGGCGGTAATCCTTGGTCTAATGTTGGTATTCGGGGCCCGTCGAATGCGGTATGTTGTTCATATCGTCTTCCATCGTCGAGGGCGCGAGTCGGGACACCCAGGGATCCACGGGGCATCTTTGGCGTGTGTTCCCCCAGTGCGCAGGGCGGGCGATGCGGGTCGGATGCCCCAACTTGCCGGGTAGGGTAGCACAGTTTCCCTGTTGTTGGCCCGTGGGGCGATGTTGGGGCTTCAGGCCCATCAGAAGGCGACTCAGCATTAGAACCTCGTTCTGGGGAAGAGTTGGAGAGCTCTGGGGCTGGTGAGTTGGAAACAACGCACGCAGCGAATGATTCGGTCGCAGGTTGGCAACCTCCCTTCACCCTCTCTCACTCCCCGGAGGACTTCGTCAACCAGGCCGAGGACATTCCGGAAGGCCTCCGCGGCGCCGCTTGCATTTCTTCAGATCTGCGCCGCGGCAGAAGTACGCATTTCCACAGTAGCCCCAACGATGGCAGCACTAATGTGCATAATCATGTGCGCCGTGGACGCATTGGATCTGGAGGGACGGGAGGGAGGCGCCATGCTCTCTATTTCTCTCTCTTGTGCGCCCTCCCTCTTCGGTAATCCTCCCAATGCGCATTTCGATTTTTACAACCCCTCCAGAACCTCTTTGAACCCCGAGGCCCTCACCCCCGTCAAGAGTCCTTTGATACAGTTAAAACGCGCGCCCACCCGAAGACTCTGCTGTCTCCTCGCCACCAGGTCTGTTCATCCAAACTGAGATTCTGAAGGCATGGGCCCAGACATCGGCTCGTCTGCCCATAGAACCGACCCCCACCACCATAGTCTGGCTCCAGATGAAGGTATGTGTCCGTCCGCTTGCATCCCCGCCCCTTCCCCAGGCTCTTCGGGCCCTGGAACCTCGAGATGCGCTTCGACATCTCAAAACCATGCTGAGACCAGTAGCAAATGACCATACCATCCTACGGTCGCCAAAATTTGCTCAGCGTGTTGCGCCGCCGGTTCTAGCTCACCACGCCTCGCCAGGAAACGGTACAGTCGGCCCGGATTAGTAGGTCGACCCTGCCAGCTCAAAGGTACCCTTGTGTCCTGTGCCTCGCGACACGTGCCTCCCTACACTCCTATGGCGATGTGGCCCTCGCAAGGGTCTTGTGTCCTCTCGCGTGTCCTCTCCAATCGAGTCCGACGGTAACCACGTCCCGGGCCCCAGATTTGAACGTTCCGCGCTTTTCGAAGCTTCTCGCCCCGCGGAGTTGAGCGACACGCTATCAGCTCGCAGGGCACAGCGTGTCGCCGGGGCCGCAACCGCAGCTTCTTAAGCAAACTTTGCCAACTGTGCAGCCAAGACGCTGAATAGGGAACAGTTTGGGTTCGGAAGGGGCTCGATGTTCCTTAGGTTCCTCCAGTGCTGTTCCTCTTGCCCTTCTGGGGCACGGAGGCGCTTACAGGGCCAAGAAGGGGCTTCGTTCCTTATTTAGCGTTCCTTCTTTCAGCGGCCCGACTGTATACGAACCCCGTCGTCCTGTCTCTGCTGGCGACGGCAACGACGGCGACCTCGACGAGGACGGCGACAAGCCCAGCGGGGCGACTGCCTGGGGCTGGCCGTGCGCGCTTCCGCCGGCGCCGAGGCGCGATCGAGGTCATAGAGGGCCTGACGACGGCCATCAAGCTGCCAGAGAAGGACTTCGGGGGCTCCAGTCGTCGTCGGACCTCGAAGAGTGGGGAGGAGCAGGGCGTCGTGCCAGATATTTTGTGGCGCTTGTCATGGGCATTGTGCTTCTCGTGTTTCCCGAGGCTCCCGGAGTTCCCAAAGGCCTCGGAGGGGCAGGACGAGAAACTCTGACCTGAGGTAGTTATCTTGTGAGCTCACGTCCCCCTGCCCCCGGGCGCAAGAGGAAGCGAAGCCCACGATCGCACCCTTCCTGGCGCCGACGCCCCCTGCGCAGTGCTGGTAGAGCTCTGGCAGGAACTCTGGGCCCAGGCTGGCGGTCTCGGCTGTCTCGTCGTGGAGGTTCTCTCGGTATGAGGCAGGCGTCAGACACGACGTACGCGGTCAGTTTCCCCCCGAGTGCGTGTCAACGCGGACGTTCGTGCAGGCAAGACCGCGGAGGGCGTACATGTACATATGTCGCTGCTCGCCCAAAGCGGGTCTTGTGGGAGAGGGGTCCTGAGGCTCTCCCCCGTTTCCGGGCACTCGGGACCTTCCCTGGGGCCCGGGACTGTAAAAAGCATGCTCGGTGTGAAGATTTGGCTTTGTGGGGACCTCCCCAAAAAGCCCAGGACCCGATTCACTTGGGACGTGGTTCCTTCATGCCAGTCCTTGCAACATCGGGCTCCGATCCCTCCGCACGGACTCACCGCGTCGGTGGGGCCCCTGCTTCACCAAGGCCCGTGGAAGTTCCTTGACGTCTCTAGGTTCCTATTCAGAAAACATCGGGGCTCAAGAGACGGGGATCAATGCAGACGGGGGTCAGCCAGAGCGCCAGATCTTGCAGGATCTTGCAGGGCCAGGTTCGCACTGACCCAGGTCTGGGTGCAGGATCTTGCAAGGCCTGACTGACCCTGGTCTGGATTGACCTGGATCAGAAGATCCCCGAACAAAAGTTGTTGGAGAGCAACGTCGAAGCATTGCCAAAATCATCAAAACACATTTGGCAAGCGCTTCGTCTTTGTCTTGCACGTCCGCCCAATCCGCCCGGACAGTTCATGGACTAGAATAGGCCCAGAAAGCCTGGAGGGGTCGGCGAGGGTCGTGGTCGTGGGTCCGGTGTGCAAGGTTCACTCCTTGGGCAGGCCCTGGGCGGTGGAATCAAACTGGGGCGGGGAGGGTGCGGTAGACAAAAGCACTGAGGAGTTCTAGCGTTTCCGGAGGAGGAGGAGGAGGAGGAGGAGGACGATGACCAGGCAGGCAGAGAGCAGGGGCAGGAAGATGAAGGAAGAGCACGAAGAGGAGGGCAAGGAGGATGAGGAGGACCGCCAACGAGAGAAGGTGCATGAGGATATGGGGGTGCGGTATGATGCGTAGTGGGAGGAGGTGCAAAAGGAGGTGAATGACGAGGTCGACAGGGGCCAACTCGATGTCGCCTCCTCGCACGATTGACCATGTACATGTCATGTTTGCGATGGTGCGGCGTTCGTCCATGATTAACATGTGCATATTCTACGCATCGAGAGTTTCAGGTTGACGCGGGCAGTAGGAGTGTTGTATCCTCATGTGCCTTTCGCAGGTCACTTCTCATTGAAAGCCAGGCCACACGTAGCTGCAGACGTGTGCATATGAAAATCTCTTTGGGGTGGAATAAAGACAGCGCTGGCAGGTTGACATCGTGTGTGCGGAGATCATTGGCGCTATCGCTAGTGAGGAGAATTGCTGCGCCACGATCAAGGACACGCAGCGGGGGTGACGTGATCTGGGGGGGGGGGGCTCGCATGGTAGACGTCCACACTCAGGTTTGACAGCGCTCGGGGAGCAACGATCTCTGCTGTGCCTCCGCGTTTCCTGGTTTCCCTCCTCGAGATTCCAGGACTCCTCTCTCGATGCGCTCTGCTAGGCCAAGTGCACGTTCCCCCCTCCTACGCGAACGCATTCCGTCGGTGTCCGCCCACGGATTCTGTGACTCGCCCGTTCCGCCTGCAGCGCCGGGCCCCCGGCGTCCCGGAGCCGGGCTGGCTCTCTCATCGCAGGTTGCTAGATTTTGCCCGGCGCCTTCTCCGCGTGTGCCTGGTTCGGGCGGGAATTTATGGGGGGGTAAACGGAGGGGGAAGAATGGTGCCCTTCACGGGCCCTAAAGGGACCCTTTCTGCAGCCCCCGCTGCCCCCCCAATTGTCGCCCCCCCATTACGCGCCCCCCAACGTTTGCAAACAGAGCGTCCGATGCAAAGACCCCAAGTCTCGGACGACTCGACATGTTGAAACCGCTGATCCCTCAGCTATTCGGCCCATTCTTGGGGACATGCGTTTCATCCCGAGAAATTTCGTGGCTGGATCCCGGGCCCGGATCCTAATCGCAGGGATGTCAAATTTGGAGGACAGTTATTTTCAATTTTTTCTTGGCGCCTGAGGCCTGGATCATTGTGTCTCTTCCCGTTCAATAGCCAGGCCCCAGACCTGTCCAGTGGTGCGCTCTGGCCAACATGTTGAAGCGGATCCAGCCGCGAAGGCGAGAAGCCTCGCGGGTGCGCCCGCTTCGTGAGTCAGGCAGAGACCAGTTCAGTGTGAAAGCGCGGACAGGGGAAGCTTCAACATACATAGTGCTTGGCCTTCTTCGAGATATTGAAGGAAGTGTTCCACATAATCCTCCGCCGTGTCAGCAGATTCATCTTCCTCCTTGTCCTTCCTAATTTCGTCGCCGTGCTACTTGTGGCACATGGGGGTGTTTTTTAGTTTGAGGGCGTGCCGAGTTTTGGTGGACTGTGTTTGCGCGGTCTTACGATTGGCATGTGCCCGGGTGACGGGCACAGCGAAGATTTCGAGACTCTGAAATCGAATCACAGTTGCTGCGAGTAACGGTTTCGGATGGATGCGCGTTCGGGGCTGGCGTTTCTGAGGGAAGAGGGAAGCGTCGAACATGAACATGAGGAGTGGTGCAGGTTCAATCAACCATTCTAGGTGTCTGGAAGGAGGTCCTGGTCGGACACACATTTCAAAAAACCTGGTGGCACCATATGGGCTTGGTATCGATCTGGATCCTCTGAGCGATGCCGTGTGGGTGCCATCGGTTCCGTGCTGTTGATGGCACGTACACGCACCTATACACGTATATGTTTTACATACATATGTATGTCATTGACTGTTGTGTTTGGAGGCGGCTAGGCGGCCTCAGGCCTATCGTCCGAGGGGACTATGGGGCGTCCTTCTGTGCAGCCTGTTTGGTACAAACCCACTGATGCAGTGGGTGGCCGACCAACTGAGCGGCGCGACGCCTGCAGCGCTCGGCGCCACAGTCGGACGGCTGACTTCGAGGGCCACCAGCTGCTCCTGCCACTTCTTCGACTCGGGTCCCGTCGACGAGGGGCTCCTGGCCATCCTGCGCGGGCAGCTGGATCGCTGCGGCCCAGGCCCCCTGCATTGTCTGCTGCCGTCGTGCGGGCCGAACGCCAGCAGCGTGCTGGTGACGTGCTGCTGGGGGCAGGCGCTAGCCTCGGGCTGCGGGTGCTGCTTGGATCGCTGGCTCGACCGACATGCGCGGCCGCGCCGAGCGTGGCAAGCTCAGCGGGACCCTCGACCGTGACCCCCACCACGTTGCGACGCCTGCACGATGGCGACGACGCTGGACATAGACATCATTCAGAGTGTGGTGGAGTATCCAGACGGTCCGAACATGGCATCACAGGCTGCTGCTGTACGAGCTGGGCCCAGGCCGCTGGGTTTTGACCGCGCCCGACTTCTCGGTGCAGGTGCTGGGTGTGGCGGCCCATCGTGTGTTGCCTCTCGTGCGCGCTGCTGCGTGGCAGGCGCAGTTGCGAGGCAACGCGGCTTCGATCCGTTCACGGCCCACCAGCTGGACGACCTCTTCCTGCGTGGTGGGCAGCTGGCGCGGGCGCTCGGGTACCAGCCGACTGCTGGCGCTGCCACGGCAGCGGCGGACAGGCAGTGACGCGCCTCGGACACGGGGCACCAGAGCTTCAACGAGGTGATCCCCGACGGCAGCGTGCTCGGGGACCGCGCGGTGGTGAAGGGGGAGACGGGCTTCCACCTGATCGACCAGGAGGCGGGCGAGTGGGTCACCGTGCAGCGGATCAGGAAACGCGACCTGGACAGCTGGCTGGAGCGCAAGCGGAGCGGGCCAGGACGCGACCTCCGCATCTTGCCCGTCCACCGCGACTCTGGCGGCAAGAGGGTCACGCGGCTGCGGGAGTCCGCGAACCTCTTGCCGGACTCGAAGTTCGCCGACTGGCCGTTCGATGGACCTTCCTCGGCGCGCAAGCTCATGGCGGACGTGGCGGCGGCGGGCCGCGAGCTGCACCTGTACGTACCCGGTATCCGACGTGGTGGTAAAGAGTGGCGTGAGTCCGTCGGGCAGCTTGATTCGCGAGGTCAGGCTGGCCTTCGACTACCTGCGCGCGATGTAGTCCTACGACCAGCTGAACATGCAGGCCCTAGCGTCGGTGGAGCTGATCTGCCGCCGCATCATAGCGCGCCAGCGGGCCGTGAGGCGAAACTGGAAGGCGCCCGACTTCACGGGCCTGAGGCGTTTCGCGCAGTCCAACTTAGACGAGTCGGGCGGCCTGAAGACGACGGAGTTCGACAAGGACGTGGCCGAGCAGCAGAAGACGAACGCGACCGTGCTCAAGAGTCTCAGGCAGGACTTCGAGAAGAAAAGGCAGGCCAGTCGCAATAAGGGGGACGGCAAGCAGGGCAAGGATTGAGGAGGCGGGGAGGTGCGGCGACGCTTGGGTCGTCATCGCGGGGCTTGATCTGTGGCGCTGCACCCCCGCCGCCGAGGCCGACTGCGACCTCGGCTCACAGCGAAGTTGTGACGTGGCCGTGAGACCTGTTTCCCTTGCCGCTACCTCCCCCGGGTGACGGGGGCGCTGAGGGAGATCGGGCGGACTCGTGCCGCCTTCCGATTGGCGCTGGGCCTGCGGCGGCTATTCTCACCGTTGACGCGGTCGCGGCCCTGAATGGTCTGGCTTCCTCTCGCGGTGGTCGGCCGCTGCAGCTGCGGCGGCCGAGGACTTCAAAAGATATGGTCACGTCGGCTCAGCTGTCGATGCTTGGCCGCGTCGGGGCGCGCGTGGACGACAATTCTTCGTTCTTCCCGATGCTGAACGCTCCCCCGCACTTCCGGGCCCCCTGAAGCGCGCCGACATGTCCCTGAGAGCGACGCCGCCAGCCGGGCCCCGATCCAGCTGGGGCGACTTAAGATCCTGAAGACACTGCGCCGAAGGAGGTGGTGGGCGTTGTGGGGGCCGACGCGCGCCTGCTGCTGGCAGACCCTTGGAGGCGCGATGAACGACGAGCTGATGATGTTGAAAAAGACGGGGCGCCCCCACGTCCATGCACTGACCCGCGGCTCCGCCACCAGAGCCGCAAGCTGCCGAGGGAACTGGTGCTGACCTTGCACCGCGGCGGTCTCGTAGCGTTCAGGCCCTCGGTGAAGGCGTTCATCGGCTTCTTCATGGTCATCAAGAAGGACGGCTGGTGGCGACGGCTCATCGTGGATGTCTGGGCGCCGATCGCTGGCACCGGCGGCCGCCGCGCTCCAACTTGGCGACGCCAGGCGCGGCCTCTGCGCTCGACCTGGCGCGGCCGTGGACCTCCAGGACGGTTTCTACCAGCCGTGCTTAAGGCCATGAGCACGCTTTGATCGGGCACCGACTGCCGCATGGCCGCCGAGGAGGCCCGGATCACGGAGATGTTCTACGCCGTGGACGGCGTCGACTCTTGGTTGCCAGTCGCGGCAGACGACGCGGTCTGGCCCTGCTTCTGCGGCGTGCCCATGGGGTGGGCTTGGGCCCTGTTCATCTGCTACTCGGCCCTCACCGACGCCATGGTGGAGTCGCTCGCGCGGGCGATGCCTTGCGGGCGGAGCCTGGCTGAGGCCCAGCTGATGCGGGACGGGCGGCCTGCTCCCCGGCTCGCCAATGGCAGGCTCGTTGCGGCGCCCTGCGTCGACAGCGGCATCCTGATCTGCTTCGACCGCGAGGATGCAGAGACCTTCTATGACGGGATGGCGGCCGCGCTGACTAGGCGCGGCTTCGCGCTGCGGGGCAGCGCGGAGTGCGACCCGAATGCGGACATGGTGGGGTTCGAGTTTTAGGGCGCGAAGTTCTTCTGGAGGCAGCAGCGCCCCTGGTTCTGCCGGCTGTGGCAAGCGCCGCGGCATTTGGTGCTGCGGGCGGGCTTGCGCGGGGGAGGTCATGCGCATCGTGCTGGGCCATCTGGTGAACTCCTTCATGCTGGCTCGGCCCGCCCCGAGCGCGCTCTCGTGCCTGCGCGGTTTCAGCGCCGAGAACTCGGGCCGCTTCCGTCTGTTTGACAGCCGCGTTCGAGGGGAACTGGAGACCTGCCGGCGCATGCTGGTCCCGGTCAGGAGCTGACTCCGACGGCAGCACTACCCCGCGGCCTCTTGCTCGGACGCCTCATCGAAGGGCTGCGCCACCCATGCGGGACTTATCAGCGGGAGTGAGCTGCGCGACGTCTGCCAGCGGCGGGAGCGTTGGAGGTTTACCGACGCCGAGGAGGAGGAGGGGCCAGGCCGCTCGCTGGCCCAGACCGGGCCTGGCGCCGAATTCCACGAGTTGGGGGAGGACCTGGACGTAGAGCATTACGACTGGCCTGGAGCTGCGGTCCGCGACCGCCCTGCTCGGCGGGCACCACGGGTGAGCAACCTGGTGCCCGTCGAGGCCATGAGAGCGGTCGAGGCCGGGGCCCCGCCTCCCCAGGGCGACCGACATCGCGACCTCGCTGCCCGACGGCACGGTCGCCGCTGGGCGTTGGAGGCGGCTGCTGGTCGGCGAGGCGCGAGGCGATCCACGTGAAGGAGGCGAGGATCGCGCGGGTGGGGCCTTATCATGCGTCGCGCGACCCATCGAGTCACGGCGGCGCGGCCCCGCCTCTCGGCGACGACCTCTCCGAAGTCTTGGCCACGGAGCGGGGTCGGGCGCGCAGCCCCGCTCTGAACGTCATCTGCAGGCGTGCTGCTTCGATCGAGCTCGGAGCCGAGGCGCGGCGGGTGCGCCGCTGCATCGAGACGGCGCGAAAACACCGCCGACTCGGACTCGAGGCTCGCGGAGCGCGGGCTGCTGGCGCCTGGCGAGGCGCTCCGCGGTGGGGGGCGGCTGCGGGGGCTGGCGGCGGGCGCCGCGCGTGCAGCGACGCCGCGGGCGCGGGCTCGGGCCTGGCCGAAGCCGCCCAGCCCGTCGGCCGCCCGCGCGCGCCGCCGCCGCTGGTCCCGAGGCCGCCGCGGAGCGGCCGCAGCCGCTTGGGCGTGCTTGCAGTTTTCAGAGGCTGCGCCAGGCTTCCCGGCGCCTGCCTTGCGGCCGGGCCGCGCGCCCTCTGCCCCGTGGATGCATCGGCCGGGCCGCAGTTCGACGTTTTCAGCGTCGGTGCCCAGCAAACCATCCTGAAGTGGATCGCTCATGGCCGCGTCTCTCATGTTCATCCCGCCACCACCCCGTGCTCGATGGAGCGTCGCGAGCAACGCGGGGTTCAAGAACTCCGCGGGCTCTCGGGCCGGCCTTGGTTGCGCCGACTTCACGGTGAAAGTCCTGAGGGTGTGCCATCGCATTGGGGTCTCCGTGTCGATAGAACCCCGCGTCTTCGAGGCCCCTGAAGAACCCGCCCCCCGTGAGCATTACCAGGAAGTTAAGATGTGACTCTTTCGAGCGCCGCCGTTGCCGCTACGGGGCCCCCCTCCAGGAGCCCGCGACATTCATCGCGAGAGCGCCCGCTCTGAAGGTCATAGAGAGGAGGTGTATGCGCGTGGTGCTCCACGAGCGCCTCGAGGTGAAGGTGAAGGTCCCGGGCGGGGCTGGCAAGCTCATCTGGAAGTGGAAGACCTTTCTGGCGGCCGCGCATCCTCCAGGGCTATGCCGCACTGTTGCGGTTGTGCTCAAGGACTTAGGAGGCCCTGGGTCGAAGAGCGTTCCGGCGGGATGGCGAGCCGTTGCTCGATCCCCGCTGGGGGGCGCGAACTGACCGCGGCAGCAAGATTCGCGAAACCGAAATCCGCTCGCGGCCCCCTCGTGCCCACGCAGGCGTGCTACCAGATGAGCATGAGGTGGGCTACCAGCTCTGCGGAGACAGCGCGGAGGAGCAGCGGCGCCTCGCTGTCTTCGCGCTGGGCCGGGCGGCTGGCGGGCCGGGCGGCCCGCGAGGGCGGCAGGCGGCCGCCGCCGGGCCTGCTGACGCAGGTCGGCGTCGACGCGGCGCCGCCGCCCAGCGCCCGAAAGCGCCGGGCCTCCACCCGGCGGGCCGTCGCCAAGACGGCGGCGATCGCGCCAGGTAAGAGCGGCGCTCCGTAGGCCAGGCGACTCGCGAGTCTATCAGAGGGAGCGCGGCGAGTTCACGACCAGGCGGAGGACGCAGCAAATGACGAGCAACGCCCCTGGACCCGTGACAAGGCCTTCGAGCTGCACCTCGACAAAGCTTCACTTCGATGGAGAGCCCGCCTCCCGGGCCAACAACGCCATCCGCGCGCTGATGTTCCACGTCGACGAGGCGCGGGCGAAGACTCCGCACTTGCCGCGGGCCCGTCGCGCCCAGCGTGGCTTCCGCAAAGCCTCGCAGACCAGGTCGCGGGACGGCTGCCCTTGGGAGGCCGCCGTGGAGCTCGCCCACTGCATGGGGAAGCAGACCGGTCTAGTCATGGTGAACCCAGCGGCGCTGACCCGCGTGCTGTTCGACGGCTACCTGCGCGCGTCCGAGGGGCTCAGGATGGGCCGCGACCGGTTCATCCCACTGCGGGGCAGCCGCGAGGGCCGCCGCTCTTGGGCCGCCATGATCTGCCCCGAGGAGCGCGGACGGCCAACCAAGAGCGGCGACTCCGATGACATCGTCATCCTGGGCGAGACCTCGGAGGCGCGGCGGCCGCTCGTCACCGAGCTCGTGGCCGCGCTGCACCGGGCGACGGAGCGGGGGGGCTCGTGTGACGGTTTCATGCACGGAGGCTACGAGAGGGCGTTCCGCCGCGGGGTCGAGGAGCTGGGCATGATCTGCCTGCAGCTCGCACCCCGCTGCCTCAGCCGCGGAGGCGCCTCCACCGACGGCCTTGACGACCCCCCGATTGTCCCGATCCAAAATCGAGGAAGATGGAAGAGTCTGGCGAGCTGGAAAAGGTACTGAAAGAAAGGCAGACTCCTCAAGCAGCTCGACCGACTGATGTCGATACGAGTTCCAAATGTTGATTCCAGCATGCGCTGGTTGCTCACCCAGTTTTCCCGCGTTCTGCAGAATGTTCGTGCCGTGGAACCGTGAGTGCCCGACCGACCCTCCCTACAGTATAGATCGTGATATGGGGAATAGGTGATGCAGTGGTGCCGGCGCGACACTTTGTTCTCGAGCAAGAGTTGCTACTACTCGTTCCCCGTAGCCTGCTCCAGGTCGGCCTGTAAGATGATCGCGAGTTGAGTTCAGCATGTGGCATCGCTCGCCCTGTCTCTCTTTTTCAGGCGCTCCGCGCATCACCGCCGATGAGCTCACCGACCATATTTGTCATTGACTGTTGTGGTTGGAAGCTGCTGGGTGGTCTCAAGCCTGTCGTCCGAGGAGACTATGGGGCGTCCTTCTCTGCAGCCTCTTTGGTCTCCGCGCTCTCACCCTTTTTTTAGTTCCCTGTGGGAAGATGCAGTGGTGCCGGCACGACAGCGTGTTTCTTTTTTGAGCAAGAGATGCTACGACTTGTGTTTCGGAGCCTGGTCCAGGTCGGCCTGTAAAGTGATAGTAAGTGAGTTCAGCACGTGGCATCACTTCCGTCTTTCTTTTTCAGGCGTTCTTCGTTTCACCGCCGATAAGCGCGCTGAGCATGTATTTGTATAGCCCTGTATGTGTCAACGTATGTGTATGTATGCACATGGCTCGGACGCTACGGCCGGATGTGCCGCTCGGCTTGGACATGTGCTTATGCCTGGCGGTATGGTAAGAACGCTCTGGACATAATCCTTTGCCATGGCGTTGAGAATGTGAGTTTAGATAGGCGGCATCGAAGGAACCCTCCTGGGCGGAGTCCCATGCGCGAGCGAATCGTTTCATTATCGCAGCCACCGTCTCGAGATCTGCATGGTGAGCCCTGGGTTCAAGAAGTGCTTCAGGAATGAACGACATTCAGTTTCGTGTATAGCGATTCTGCGATTAGGGTGATGGGTGGCACCCTCTCCTACCCTTCCCCTGTCTGCCTCCCCCTCTTTCCATCTCGTCCTCCTCCTCTCATCGTTTCCATCCTAATCCATATCCCCCCTCTGTCCCTCCCTGTCTTCCCCTCCCGCGCCTTGCTCCTTATCGTCTCCTCTCGCCACCCTCTCCCCCACCTGTGCGTCTCCACCGACGCACAGGACGAGTGTGTAAATGACAATGAAACAAACCGAAGATGGATGACCAGGAGGAGGATGATTAGGAGGACCACCAGGCCAACCTGGGGTTGTTCCACCGGGCAATAAGTCATGTTTTTTTCCCCTGTTGAAGTTGTCCCGACATTTCTCTTGCGCAGCTTTCAGGAAGCTGGCCCCTTGCCATGCCTCCTCCGGCAGGACGCACAAAACCGACACATGAAGGACCCGACAGACCCGTTCAACTTCATCCCGGTCGCCCGGGCGGCCCTGTCGCCCCCAACCCCCCGCCCTGTCGGCGGGTTGCGAGAGCCAGGAGGATACAAGGTTGGAGGAGGAGGCAGGAAGCGGAGATGGCGTTCGCGAAAACAGGAGCAGGAGATAACTCTCCCCAGTCCCCAGGTCGTTCCTCACGGCTTGGGGGGAGTCTGACGGTCTCGGAGGTTTTCGGGAGGTTCTTGTTCAGTTTGGTCTGCATTCGGAGTTCTATGGAGGTCTTCGGAGGTGTTCGGAGGCAAGGCGGGGAGGAGAGAGAGTTGGAGGAGGGCCGGGCGAATGGAAGATCAGGGGGTGGGACGAGGATGGACGGTTTTCCTAATCAAGGGGGAGAATACTTAGAGGGATGGGAGAGGAATGGAGGGGAGGGCGAGGGGGTGCTTTGGTATGCGATTATGGTCCTTTCTGCTCATCCAGGGCATAGCTTGGTCGGTCTAAGGGCCACCTCGAGGCCTCAGGAGGCCACCCGAGGCCTACAGGCAAGCGCCACAGGACAGATTTGTGATGGGACTATTATTCAGGACGTCGTGGTGCCTTCACGCCGTCGGATGTCCAGATCTCCTGGCCAGCGCGTGCCAAAGGGCCAATGGGGCGCACAGTCCCACGTCGGGTTTCTGCCGCTGGCCTTCTGCCTGTGCCCCCTCCTGCCGAAAGTCGCAGAGGAGTATTACGTTTCCTTCTTGTGGCGATGCAGCGTCTGAGCCAACTCGCCCGCCGAGCGGACCCACGATCGAGCGCACTCGGCGGCCAAGCGGGCTCGATACCCACAGTACTGAGGGAAACATGCCAATTCGGCTGCTCACCATCTTTTGGAATTAGGCCGAATGGGCAGGATTTATACATTCCGAAGACAACCCCCTCAGCTGCTCCACCCGCATGTGGGCCAGGATGACTGTGAAAGGTATGTGTTGAGGACCGAGATGTTACCAATCTAGATGTTGCTGAAGTGATCCACGGACACGTGGCGTACGAGGAGGAGGTTCACCGCGCGTGTGTCGCCCAAGCCACGATTGCTATACATTCCGTTTGGCGTAGCCCAATCCGCTTGGCCCAAGACGAGCGCCCGACCGGCCTGGTCGCTGCCGTTCGTCGAGGATGCACCAGCTGGCGGACGGTGGCGTACAAAACATGCAGCATGCAAGATCCACCAAGGAAAGGATCACGAGCGACGTCGGCCGCGGAAGAGGTTACCCAGTATTCCGCGGGCGCCAACGCGATAGATGTGTGCGTGCCGCGGCCTCCAGCTCCAGCCGGTGAAAGCAATCTTGACTTATCATGCCGACGCCGACGCCGACGTGGTTGACATAGAGTCCAGGGCTCTCCACTAGCCGGACGTGCAGGACGTGTCAGTGCCAAATGCGCAGGCTCCACGGTGATGGCTGGATGAGAGCCGCCTTGAGGTAGCAGGTACATGTAGGCGAGCATCGTGAACGCCTGCTCGTGCCCCAGTGATGAGGTGCATGCAAGCGGGGCCATGGTCGTGGATGAGTGGCAGCCCCAGCCATTCTTGCTGACCCGTGTCGTGTAGGGCCACTTTTCGACACACCGTGTCGAATTGGTGCGCATCTCCCGGAAGGAGCACCGAGATACTGTCCGTGACCGTACTCATCGCCTCGACAACGTTGCACCGAGGCCGCAGTCCACCTTCGCGACACACGGTCGCTCCCCGCGCCGGGGGGCACCCGTAATGCCAGTCACATGCAGCCAAGCCGCCATCTAAGCATCCTCTGCGACCCCCTCCCCTGGCCCTCCCGTGCGAGCCCCCACTCTGCCCGCCCCCTCTTCGCCCGCCCCGAGAATCGCCGCTGCCGGCCCCCCGAGCGGAAGGTCCAGCCCGCTCTCCTCCACCACGGATCGGAGATTGATAGACCTTCTACCCTGACACGTCGATCAGTGAATTGGCCGTTTTTGGTTCGCGAGAGGGCGTCGCGGCCGTCATTTTTGTGGGTCCAGGCCCGTCGATTTTGGTTCCAGGCCGTTTTCACTAAAGGGTGGTTTACTAAAGGCAGGTTTGTCCACCGCCGAACGGACTCCAGGTGTTCCATCACGGACCCCCATCGAAGACCGCCGGAACGCGCCGAGGACCGCCCGAGACCATCAGAAGACCGCCGAAGACCGTTGGAAGACCGTCCGAAGACCGCCGGAGACGGCCCAGGAGCGATGAGCAACAAGGTTTGGAGAGTCACACCTTCCCTGTAGCTGTGGCTGCCATGATTCACGCATCCCGGTAAGTATTCATTGTCCCCGCAATGCTCGGGCCGGACGAAAGGGGGGGATTGCGAAAGGGGGGGGTTACGAAGTCTGCTGCATGCAGCTGGTTTCGGCCCCGCCGAGGGGCCCATTCCTCGATACATGGGCGCCTCCCGGCGCCGGGAGGCGCCGGGAAAATCAGCTACGCGAGCTGATTCTCCCCCCCCCCTTTGCTATCCCCCCCTTTCGCCCGGCGCGAGATGGGCAACAAGGCATGGAGAGTCACGCCTTCCCTGTAGCTGTGGCTGCCACGATTCACGCGTCCTGGCATCCCCGCAAGGCATGGTCAGGCGGTCAGGGGCGTGCGCGACTGCTCGGGCACGGAGAGCGCACGACGCCGCCTGGGCTCGGCCTGCGGGAGCCGCGGCCGCGGCAGCACAAGACGGCGAGCGCTGGGCCGCAAGGGGGGCCCGCGGTGGTCGGGTGCGGAGCCCGCCGCCCTCCGCCGCGGACTCGCCCGGCGCGCGCCGAGGGCCTGCGGCCCGCCCTCGCCGCGGCGCCGGAGGGCCCCCGCGCCCCTGCGGGGACGCGCTCGCCTCGCCCCGCCTCCCAGGGACAGAACGGGCAGCACTCGCCAGGAGGAGAGAAAAGCAAGCAGACACAACGAATCGTCGACTCCCTCGAAACTACGGGAAAGTACGGTCAGTGGGGGGGGAAGACAGAAACCCAGAAGATATGGAGAATCCTTCTACTATTGTGGGTATTTCTTTGTGTGCCCCAGGTCCCCCTCAAGTCGATTCGGCGGGCGAGGCTTCGATCCAGCTCCTGGATGCGGGAAGGGTCCGGCGGGGGCTCGGCCCCGGAGATCACAGACTGGCCCAGGCTGGCAGCCTCCTGCGAAGCTTGCGCGCCAGAGGCTTTGCGGGCAGCGACGTAAGGCTCGTGGCGCCTTCGTGTCACGCCGGGCTCGGCCCCCTCTCCGTACTCCTTCGGCGTCGCTTCCGCTTCCTCAGCCGCACTGTTCGCTCCTCCATCGTCCCTGTCCGCACTGTCCGCTTCCCTCTCCTCATCATCCCCCGCTACCCTCGTCTGCACCCACTCCCCGCCCTCCTCCTCCTCCTCCTCCTCCTCCTCCTCCTCCTCCTCCTCTGCCTCCTCCTCTCTCACCCCCTCTTCCGAGTGACACGTTCGGAAGAAGGATGGGCATACGTAAGCAGGATTAGGACGAGGATCGGAGGTTCACAGACCCCCCCCTACAGTCGGGGCGCTGAAGAAGGAACCTTTTTGCGTTGGGGAGGGGCTCCGTGTTCCTTGGGAAATCGAAGTTTAAATGGAAAAAATGGCTTTGTTCCTTATTTCGGGTGCCTTCTGTCAACGCCATGACTGTACCAAGCCGATCAGCGGAATGCCATTCTTTGTTCTTGTCGAGAGAGGGTGTGGCGGCTGCAATTTCCGAGGGCCTGCGCCCGCCAGGCCGGGTCTTGGGTCGTTTTCACAGAGGGGTGGTTTTACGGAGTGGGGTTCTGTTCTACCCCCGGGGAGAGGAGGAGGAGGAGGAGCCTCTCTTCCTGATTTTGCTCGTCCTCTCCTTCTCCGCCTCCCTCCTTCTCCAATCCTTCTCCTTATCCAGCTGCCTGCGGCAAGTCCCGCCACCGTGCCAGCCCAGCATTCTTGGTGGCAACTGCTCGAGGGGGCACGGGATGCCGTCACGTGTGACTTCTCGCGTCGCCAGGCTTTGGAGAGCCGTGATGACGATGAGGAGGAGGAGGAGGAGCAGGAGGAGGAGGAGGAAGTGCCGTGACATTTGACACATTTCATCTTCGCTTTGCAAGGAGTTCTCATGGAACCCGCTTGGACCGTCTTGTGTTTGTCTTGGCCTCCAGCCAGGCAGTCCTGAGAGTCCCTCCCGGGCCCTCTTGGATTGTTTTGAGGCCCTCTTAGGCCGTCTTGGGGCTCTTTTTGGCGCCGTCTTGGGGTCCTCGTGGCAGTGTGGTGGGTGCCCAGGGGCAGTCGTGGGGCTGTCTTGGCGCCGTCTTGGGCAGCAGGAGGGCCTCCCAAGGCCGTCTCGGGTCCCAGGGGGGGCCCTCTTCTTGGGCCGTCTTGGGGCCGTCGTGGATGCCTTGTCGGCCCCCGCGGGGTCCTTTTGGGCCATCTGTGGACCCTTGTGGGGGCCTCTTGAGCCGTCTCAGGGCCATCGTGAAAGCTTCGTGGGCCGCCTTGAGCAGCGAGCGAGGGAACCACGCGAGAATGCCTGTCGGCTGCTCGGCCCTGTGCAGGGCATGGGTGTACCGACTGCCAGTCAGACAACAAATATGAAACGTGAGCAGAATTTGTAATTGGGAATTCAGAGATATACGACAGAAGGGAGGGAGGCGGGGGAAGTTGGGGGAGAAGGGGGGGGAGGAGGAGGAGGAGCAGGAGGTGGAGGAGGGAGAGGCATCACAACTTCATCATGCAGAACTTGATGTACTGCTCCTCCCTGCCCGGCGTCTGCAGCGCCTGTTCCAGAGAATTTGCTCCGACGTGCGTGTAGAACTGTCTGAAGTTATCCATCCATTGCAGAGGTGGTCTTCCTCGTGTTCGCATGTGGGTTGTGAGCAGACTGCAGATGTGAAAGAACGGGCGCCAATCTCTCAACTCCTCCACAGAAGAGCCGGCGAGCCACCCGCCACTCCAAAGAGGAAATCATTTCCGACACGTTTGGGGAGGGTGCCGCGGACAGCATGTTCGACACGCGGGTCTGCATCCTGCGCATCGTGCGCTGCCAACTCTCACCTTCCGCTCTCCTC